CGAAGTTCCACAACAGAACCTCCGGAGTCATTGAAACAAAAAGATTCAAACACATCGTTCAAACAGGAAACAGGATATCGACACACGTTCTCTGTGTGTTCGTCTAAAAACAGAAGAAAGTGTTAAAATCTAAACGCGCCTGTGACCAGAGTCAACCTCGAGACGAGCCTGACGGCGGCCGCCATGATGGAGTCCTCTCGTGTTGTTGTAGTTCACGGTTTGTCCACGGGACGGCGCCAAAGCACCGAGTGTCCGATTTCATTTCCGGTTCCGTATACGAATCGTAAGCGTTTTATTTTGAAATCAATTACCGGAACTATATTCTTGCAGTGTATCTAGCTTGATAGTATTTGTGCAGTTCCTCTCTGTGGCCGCTAGATGGCGGAAATACCCGCCGTCACATTCACACTGGCGTCTGAACAGTTTAGTTGTAGTGACGCACTGCGACCACCAGAGGGCAGTGTATTAATCAAGTTAAAATAATAGCGTACAACTTTTTCCGGTAACAACTTTCAAAAATAAAACGTTTTCTTCTTCTTCTATTTCTACAAAAAGCATTACAGTGTTAAAAGCAACACTTCCTCCCCGCGCCCGTAGATGGCGGTGGCGTCCTTTTGGAGGGATGTGCGTGCACCATATAATCCTCTGAGCTGCAGCCCGGTGTTGTGTTTACATCATCATCATCTTCATCATCTTCATCTTCAGATCAAGCTTCAGATTGAATTCACCGACGAACATCTGGAAGCATCTGTGCAGCTGCTCTGCTCCAGCGGGTGAGGTTCACTCTTCTTCTCTGTTCGCTGACGTGTTGACCACATGCAGCAGCGGTCACACAGCAACGTGACACCGATTTAAAGGTTTTTCCTCCATAGTTATTTCCTCTTTTCTCTCTGCGAGGTTTTTAATTGCGGATGTTCCTCTGCTCCAGAACCACTCCCTCCATTTCATGATGGAGTCAGAGAAGATTTCTACTCATTGATATTTTTATACTTTGGATTTTATTCACCATAAATACGATTAAAATACATTGAATCTATATTTGTGGTAGACCCTTTTGTGTATTTGAATCTACTTTATGTTTGAAGACAGGAGAGGGGGGTGGAAAAGAGGGGAGAGAAGAGAGAGAGAGACCAGATGTGGTTCCCCATCAGTCTGAGCCCAGAAAGAATTCCTTCATTAAATGTGAGTGTTTGCAGGTTTTTTGCATTTGAGCATCATCCTGCTGCGTTCTGTTGGTTTCAGGCTGAAGAAGCAGCAGCAGACATGTTCTACACCTGTGGTCCCAACGAGGCTATGGTGGTGTCAGGTAATGAGATGAACTGTAATCATGAACACGTCTGTTTATCAAAAACAACACTGTTGATGTCATGTCCATCCATTTCATGGTTTGTACAAAGTGGACAAAATCTGCCTAATATACAAATATTTCATATTTAAAATCCTCGTGATCTCTCCCAGGTTTCTGTCGTTCTCCTCCACTGATGATTGCTGGAGGCCGAGTGTTCGTCTTCCCGTGTATTCAGCAGATACAGAGGTGGGTTAACGTCTCAACATGCTTTTTTTATTTTTATTTGACCAGCATCCACCACTCAAGGGCAGTTTTATCTCTGTGTCCCTGTTAAAGCCTGATCCAGGACAGATTTGAATGGTATCATGTTCGTGCTGCTGCTCCTCCTACATTACTTGTAGTTCCCTTCCGGGCACCACACTTAAAGCTTTGTCTGTGTTGTAACTGGACGTCAGCCCTGCGCTCAGTGCTGGAAACTCAACAAGACAAACACAAAGCAGAGATGGCCACACTTTAAACCATTAGAGCAATTTATAATCAATCAATAAATATGTTTTAAATATCTTTACCTTCCCTATCTCCAGGATTTCCCTGAACACTCTGACTCTGAATGTGAAGAGCGATAAAGTCTACACTCGCCACGGAGTGCCCATCTCCGTCACAGGGATAGCCCAGGTCAGTGAGCTTCAAAGAAAGATGGACGTCACATCTCTACTTCCTCCCACCGTCCAGAAATGAAGCCAAAATATTCAGAACGCTGCCATCTTACGTCGATGACATCATCTGGAGCCAGACTCTGTCCAGTAGTGATTAAATCCGTCTCAGCTGTCAATCATTACGTTTCCACGATCGCTCCAAATCTTCAAAAATTCCTTTGATGTGAACTTTGACTTTTTAGATTGATCCATGTCCCATCTGCTCACATGGATGAGGCGGGGGTTGTAACCTACACTGCAGCCAGCCACCAGGGGGCGAACAACATGACTTGGCTTTACATACAAAAAGACGTCAGTGTTGTGTTCTTGATTGTAAACAAGATGCTGTTTCCTGCAGATGAAGATCCAGGGTCAGAATAAACAGATGCTGGCGGCAGCCTGCCAGATGTTCATGGGGAAGTCAGAACCGGAGATAGCTCATATCGCCTTGGAGACGCTGGAGGGGCACCAGCGGGCCATCATCGCCCACCTGACTGTTGAGGTGACTCGGTGAACGGTTGTGGAAGTGATCATTAATTAAATGTAATGATTCCAGCAGCGTGTGACTGATTGTTGGGACAATGTTTGCCTGAGTCCCACATCACACTAAACATCTTCTCCTTACAGGAGATCTACAAAGACAGAAAGAAGTTCTCCGAGCATGTTTTCAAGGTGGCGTCCTCAGACCTCGTCAACATGGGCATCAGCGTGGTCAGCTACACGCTCAAAGATGTTCACGACGACCAGGTACTGTCTCTCACTCATCCACCTTCTTCAAAAAGATGGTTTTCAGGAGGAGACACTCTAATGCAGGTTTCAATGTCAGCCATGAATGAACACGTGTGTTTCTTTTCTCCTCTGGGACGCAGCATTACCTGCATTCACTTGGAAAAGGTCGCACAGCCCAGGTGCAGAAAGACGCTCGCATCGGAGAGGCCCAGAACAAGAGAGACGCTGTGATCAGGGTGAGATATTCTCCTGAATAGATATTGTTGCAGTTTCTCATTGCAACAAAACCTCTTTCATCAGGTAGCGAGGATATTGTGTGTTCTTTGTGTTGAGGATGTGACTGAGGCCGTCTTTAAGGTCATCTTGCTTGTAGAGGACAGTAAAGGTACCTCTCCGTCTGTCTCCCTCTCTCTGTCTCTGCAGGAAGCCCATGCAATGCAGGAGAAAGTCTCTGCTCAGTACAAGAACGAGATCGAGATGGCAAAGTCCCAGAGGGACTATGAGCTGAAGAAAGCCGCCTATGACATTGAGGTCAACACTAAGAAGGCTGAGTCTGAGATGGCCTATCAGCTGCAGGTACACAAGAGTAAATAACATCTGGATAATGTCATGAATGAACTCTTTCAGCTCTGGCTTTTTATGTATCCTACATTGTCAGCTGGGTTTATCAGCATTTTGCATTTTTTAAATTGTTGCACCTCGACAATAATTTGAACTCTACGACTACATCATCCTCTGCTTATCTTTAACATATCCGTCCTTTGCCAGGTTGCAAAGACGAAGCAGCGCATCGAGGAGGAAAAGATGCAGGTGCAGGTTGTCGAGAGGACGCAGCAGATCACGCTGCAGGAGCAAGAGATCTCTCGCAGGGAGAAGGAGCTGGAGGCCAAGGTGAAGAAACCTGCAGAGGCTGAGCGGTACCGTCTGGAGAAACTGGCTGAGGCTCAGCGGTGAGTTTCACGTTCATCCTCGCTTGTTTCTCAGTACTTTCTCCTCAGTTGTAGGAAGCATGATAATAATTATTTTCACTATGACAGGGGGGTGTGGAGACGGGATCTGTGGTTCTCTGTCTGACTCTGCATTTCTTTCTCTCTGTCCAGTCTTAAGTTGATCATGGAGGCAGAAGCTGAGGCCGAATCCATCAGGGTGAGTCACAGAACCTCAACTCAGCTGGCCGTTCATTTGATTTTAATAGCGTAAGATGGAAATCACATAAAGAATTTCATATATTCGGCATTGATCTGCTCAGATGGATTCGGACTTTTGACAAGCTTTGTGTTTTCTAGTAAAATGAAGCCCATCCTCTTGTCTGCTTCAGATTAAAGGTGAGGCTGAGGCGTTTGCAGTGGAGGCCAAAGGTCGTGCAGAGGCAGAGCAGATGGCAAAGAAGGCAGATGCCTTCCAGCAGTACAAGGATGGAGCCATGGTGGACATGCTGCTGGAGAAACTGCCTCTGGTGAGAGACGATATCTTTTACAGCCTACAGCAACTTCCTGGATCCGCCTCCTGATCTAGATCTGCACCAAATTGTATTGAGTTCTTTCTCCACCCATGTCCCATCGAAAATATTGGCGATGGTCACGATGGTTAAGCTAAATAATTATGATATTGTGCCTGTGAGCTTGTAGTTTGAATCATTTGTGGCATATGTTTTAAAAAACTGCCAATTTTGGTTCATGTCATTAATTTATCTGTCCAACTTGTACGCTGAGTTTTCCATACTCCCTTAGCCTCTTTTTGTTCTTCATGTTTCTTCCGCACAAGAGTTTTAACATTTTCGTTGTCTTCCACCAGATGGCAGAAGAGATCAGCAAGCCTCTGAGTGAGGCCAACAGAGTTACCATGGTGTCCAGTGGAGGAGAAGTGGGCGCAGCCAAACTGACAGGAGAGGTGTTGGACATCATGACCCGCCTCCCTGAGACGGTGGAAAAACTGACGGGAGTCAACATCTCCCTGGTAACGATCTCCTGCACAAACATTCACGACGTCTCATCAAAACTGCCTCATGGACGACACTAGAATGAAAATCAAAGCTGCGTTAGTTAAATGTTTGGCCACTAGACGTCAGAATAACTCAAACGAACACACAAGCCCAACATATCATCGCTGCTGAAGTTTATATAGATTTAATAAACTATCCTTTACAACATTCTAATTCCATTAAGTTGTGTTTTCTAGCCCCTGGTGGTGGTTGATCCAAAATGTAGGCTGTTTTTAAACATTAATGAAGTCTTTGTTTCCCTCTGATCTCTCCTTTCTGCAGGCGACCTCTCGCACAGGTTGAAGAGAATCATCCCAACATGGTGACCAGGCAGATCCACTGTCGTTTATCGTCTGCCTCGACTCTTTGCCTGAGTCTGCTAACATGGCCTCCTTCCTCTGCCCTAACGACTCTCACGTAATCTGTCTCTTCCTCCGTCAACATCTTCTTGTGATGTTTCTGTGTCGTGAAAAAGACAAACTCTTTCACTCTCTTAATTTTCCTTTGTGTCGCTGATTGTTGGCTTTATCTCGGCCAAAGTATTGTGCTCCTCTGGCTACAGTTACAGTTGTTGTTTCAAAACATTTGAAAGTGTGTCCACTGAGAACATCCTCTACAGACTCTGGTTTTTTAATTAAAACGCCTCCCACGTGTTATATCTCAAAACTCCGGCTTGTTAATTGATTTTCATTCATATAATCAGATTTGCAAACTGAAATAAGCAACAAATGTAACTGAAGCCAGAGGAGCGAAATACTTAGTGAGTGTGTGTGTGTGTGTGTGTGTGTGTGTGTGTGTGTGTGTGTGTGTGTGTGTGTGTGTGTGTGTGTGTGTG